GTGCATGTTTTGTGAAAACATATATTATTATATAACCAATGGAAATTTCTCTAATCATATGGAAAGATATCATAAAAAAACTTTGATATACGAGCAAGAAAGAAAATTAATAAAATTTCCATGGATGTATTTCAAGTATTTAAACAAATCACATTCACAGTGCGTTATTTGTGACGCAAATGTTCTGTCTACATCCGAATCTGTAGAAAATCATTTGAGTTTACATTTTGAAAAACAACAAAAGAATCATATATTTGGAATCGGCCATATAAATATTGAACAAAAAGAGATAATTTTGTGGTGGAATGTACTTTTTTCTATTTATAATCATCTGGACGCTCATATAAAATAGAAACATTGGGACAAATTGAAAAATATGCAAGAAACACATGACACGGTTGGTTCATCAGAATGCGTTTCATCACTTCAAACGGTCACAACGTCTAAATCATTAACTGTTGTAACTAAAAAGCATGTGTGGAAATGTTTTGTGAAATTGCCAAATTTTAAAGCGCAGTGTATGTTTTGCGAAAAAAAGTATTATTATATATGCGTTAAAACTTTCCGAATGTATTTTGTTAAACATCATAGAAAAATTTGGAAATACGAACAAAAGAAAAAACTAATATAATTGCCATGGATGTATTTCAAGTATTCAAACAAATTATATTCACAATGTATTATCTGTAATGCAAATGTTCGATCTACGTTTGAATCTATAGAAAATCACTTGAGTTCGCATTCTGAAAAACAACGAAAGAATCATATCCTTCGCAGTTGGTCATATAAATATTTGACAAAAAGAGATGATTTTGTAGTGGAGTGTAATATTTGTCACAAGAATTACGCTCTTGATGTTCAACACCAACTAATTTCTCATATGAAAATGACACATTCAGATCAATTGAAAAATACAAATTAAGGAAACTCATAACATAGTTGGTTCGTCTCTCTCTCTCTCTCTCTCTCTCTCAGAATGCGTTTCATCACTTCAAACGGACTGTCTATACCATTGAAAGATTGTTATATATTGTTAACGAAATATCCACCTTATTTTTTACATATAAAAAAATGCATGTAGAAATTTTTAGTCTGGATCAAAAATACCAAAGTTTACATGGATCATCAAGATATATTTTATATTATTCAACTCATTAATATTGTGATGAAAACATTTTATCTGAAAGTTTAGAAGATTACTCGCATTCTAAAGACCAGTTACAAAAACATACATTTCAGAGTTGGTTATGGAAATACTGTACCGAAAGTGAAGTGTTGAAGTAGAATGTAATATTTGTCACTGATCTGTCACATGTTTGTTGCTATTAAAATTAATTTAAATGACTATATTAAAAATAAATATCATTTGGCAAGCAAACTAAATTGAATGAAAAAATGTCCGTAAGTTTCATTAATATTATTGTTAATATCATTATGTATAATTAACTTTATATTACATTAATTATTATGTATAATTATTGTTTATATAGATTTATCCGGAAGTTGACAATGGGAAATGATGGTAACGGCATCCAAGTAACATCACAATCAGCAATAATGGCAGTCTTAATTTTAACGATTTTAATTTATTAACTATAATTATAAATTTTACTATGTTTTAAATTTAAAAACTATATTCTTAATTTTATTAATTAAAACGATTTAATAAAGTAATCATCGACTTCTCCGTAAAGAAAAGAATACCGACAATTTACAGTATAATTTAATTTCAAATATTTAAGTTTTATATAATTTGTGTATTTTGACGCATGTTTAAAATTTTTTATATTATTTTATTATTTTTTGTACTTTATAGAGTGCCAATTTCTTATCATAACTTTTGTAAAAGTCTCCGAATGTATAATACATTTAATTGTCAATAAAATATATCAGTTTAATTTTTAAAATTATGTTTGTTCGAGAAATGTTTATGTTATACATGTTGCATTCATCACCAATAAATCACCATATAAATCAAATAAATTCATCATAAGAGTGTCAATTTATTAATTAAAGGTATCATTTTTACATATGATTTGTACGGTTTGCAGTAAATGCAGGTTGTTTTATTTTTTATTTTATTTATTATTTTATCGGAAGGCGTCAATTTTTCTGTCAATGTTATTCACAAAAACACGAATAGGATTATAATCGAAAACTCATTGATCAAAAACTGTCCGTTTGAAATTTTCAATATTATATAGTAGGTGCTGCTGAATTAATTTGTTATTTTTGTCCCAATTTTTCTGAAATATCAGATATTAGTAAAAATTTATTCATAAATTTTAAAAAATTATTAATATTATTAAACAGCAATGTCTTGCGGTTAAGATGCAGTTCGTAATAACATTTTAAAATTACATTAATGTTAATTTCTCATCACGTTGGAGATCCAATACTCTTTAACGTCTTTTTTATATTCCAACCGTTTCACGAATTATCGTATTTTATTTCACTGAATGGAATACACAATATGTTTCAAAACTAATTTAAAAGCTGAAGTCTGAAAATGAAAATTGGAAATTTCTCTGGTAGAAACGTCCGTGTTTTTTGCTAAGAAAATTGCAAAGCGGAAGATTTTAAAGATGTTAAGTAGATAATCGCTCCGAGTAGAGGCAATATGCGTAATTGCATCGGTATTAGAATGATAATAATTTAGGATAAAAAATGACTTAATAATTATCGTTGGAAATATTTAGAATGTCAGAGCACGAAAACTGTAATCAAGCAGCATTATTATTTTGACATTGTGAATGTTTCATTCATTAGCATTGAAATGTGACAATGTACTTTAAATTATACGAGTGCACTATTATGAGATTTATTACCGAAATTATTGCGTATATTATTACATGTAGATAACAGCGGAATAGATAAGTTTGTTGATGAAATTAATTGCAGTGTTTATCAATATCTTATCTAAAAAAGGCATGGAAGATTTTCATTCTTCCTTTCTTTCGCGATATTAATCTTTTTGCTTAAACATTAATTTTTACATATGATTTATACGGTATGCGGTTATTGTTTTGTGTTTTATAAAAAATATTCAAAATGTCTTCTCTGATACATTTCCGAATTCTTTGCTTAAATCTTTTCTGAAATCAAAGACGTAATGGTTTAATATTAGTTTAATATAAATGCTCACTAAAAATTCGGTCCGATTATTTATTTTCCAATTATTTTATATTATACATTTATGTAATAAACTAATTACAAATTTATGTAATTTTAATATATTTTTACACATAAGTAACAGGACTTGTGTTCAATAGTAGTACAAATTGCGACAATGATGATATAATAATATATAAATAATGGTGATAAAATATTATTTTTATTAAACATAGTTATAATAAATAATTCTTTGCAACTAAAAAAATTAATGGCGCGTATAGTGCGCGCTAGTGTGTCCAGTTTAATAAAATTACTTAGTTTATTTGTCTACCATGAAACTTATCATAACTTTAGCCTTTACTCGATATATTTAAAATTATTAAAAAATGCTGAAATTATTTTTGCACACAGACGAATAACTCTGTCAAAGTGTGTGTTAACAAAAATATTCAAACAAAATAAAATATTAAATAAAATATTTATAAAATCTTTATTTTAGTACGAGTATTTAAGATTAAAATAAAGCAAATTAAAGCACATTAAATACTGCTATTATTGAACAAATAAGAATAGAATAGTGTAATACGAAATTTAAACCAATAAATCGGGCTATTTTTGTAAAGAAAATCGACGATAATGCCATATTTGAAAATAAATCAGGTGGTTAAATGCATACACGTAATATAATATGCAAGACGTATTTCTGTTCAATAAATTGTGGATGTAACACGGACATGAACCAACCATGACTCTTTTACCATCCCGGAAAATGGATGTATCATGGACATGAACCAACCAGGGTTCTTGTACCATCTCGGAAAATGGATGTGGCCATGTAGTTCCAGGCAGGCTGTAAAATGGATGTACGCACCGCTAGTGTACGGCCTAGAAAAAGCGTCTTACGAAAAACGACAGCGTGGCGCCTCTCAGGTTTCTCTCTGATTATAGTTTAGTGTATTATGCAATGTAATTGAAAATTACAAAAGTGAGTAAATTTATTGAAACATTTATGATCTTATTGGTCGATAACCTAGTAAATTTGCTAATTTTTGTAATTTTCACTACATTGTAGGTTTGTTCGCGTTGCTCCAATACGCTTCAATCTATAGTGTATGTAACATAATACTATAGATTGGAGCATATTGGAGCGAATAGGAGCATGTTGGAGCTTGCAACGCGAACAAACTTTGGGCTTGTTCGTTTTAGCTGCACTGGGGCAGCTCTGGGTCTGCTCTAAACAAGATAATACAGGACAAACTATTTATCTGTCCTGTATTATCCTGTGTAGAGCAGAACCAGAGCAGCCCCAGTGTAGCTAAAACGAACAAGCCCTTTGTATGATACACAAGCGATGCCCTGATCAGGATAGAATTTCCCTAGAGACTAGAGACGCCGCAGTGTTTTCAATTCAGTGAATCGCTGCAATTACTACGGAATGTGGTAGCCCGGCTGGTTGGAGCCGGACGGAGGGGGTGGGAATAATAAAACGTTAGGCGTGTCGGCGTCTGTTTTTTACGCGTACAACGTTATTTTACCGATCACGGTGCCGATCTCGCTTCTCGCATACATCGGTACCCACTTTCCCGGTGGATCGGCTCCGATCGGAGCGGAATGTCAAGGGTGCACGTGGTGATTGCAACGCCGCGACGTTCCAGGGATGCTTGGATCGTCGCATCCGCGACGATAGCATAGCATAACACGACGAGACAGTGGATATCACTGAGGCGACAGATCGCGTCGTGTTGCATATACATGTTCTCGTCGTTCGTCCGCGTGCGACAGTGGGTATGCTCTTATGGGGTAGCGAGCGGGCGGTAGCCTTTGCCGTGGAATGGAGACGGAGAGCGTAAAGTCTGGGGCTAGCGAGCATAGCCATAGCCACCACAGTAGGAGCTCCCAGAAGCATCATCGGTCCCACAGCTCGAAGCAGCACCACCGACAACATTCTCATCGTACTGCCAGGTAAATTCTATATCAATTTTTAATCGTGCTTAGAAAAGTCGGCGTATTAATTTCCTGTTGAGTACGCTTGTATAATATATACATAGCTGTTTATACGTCAAAAGCAAGTTATACTTTTAATATTGCTACAACTGTTGTAAAAGGTCTCTTGCATTTTCCTTTTTTGTTTTTTTTTTTTTTTGTCTAAATATTGATTTTCCACAACAGGAGCAATCGAAATCAAAGGAAAGAAAGGCCAAATTTGGACATTAACGAAATGGCTCCATTTCAAACAACTGTGAATGTGCGGAGAGACAGTGTAGATAATTTAGGCCAAGAAGTGATTGAGGTGCAGATACTGCCGCAGGATGAGAATTGGGGAGAAAATACCACTGCCGTCACTGGCAATACCTCTGACAGATCAGAATCGACTGAAGATGTAAGCCATTGGCCAAACGAGACCGAAGGCACATTTGGCTATGGCTGCAATCGCTATGTTGCTTCAATTGTGGCCATAATACTTGGAACAAGCGCCTTTCTTAGTCCTATAGCCATGGTTATCTTGCCTAAACTGGGATTCTTTCCCGACTCAATAACAGTATTGACGATGCAGCAGAAGCTACAGCTATTGTCATGCAACGCCGAATGCAAAGGCCAACTGCTGGGATTAGCCTTCAAACTGGTGCTACTGGGCATCGGCAGCTGGGGAGTATTCCTGCGTCCTCGAACAGCTACCATGCCACGTATATTTTTATTCAGGGCAGGGGTGCTGCTGCTTACCACACTGTGCATTTGTACTTATTGGCTTTTTTACGTTGTACAGGTCTGTGATCTAAATGTGATTCGCACATATTTCTTTTTGCAAGTGCAACATATGCTTATGAAAATGCTTAACACTTTTCAGGTCACTGAGAGTGCTAAGACTGCTGCCAATGGCGAAATAACAGAGTACAAAAGTTTAGTAAATTACGCGGGTACCCTTGCAGATACGCTGCTGTTTATACATTATGTCGCTGTGCTCCTTATTGAAGTTCGTCATTTACAGCCTACATTCTACATTAAGGTGTGTAGATGTCTTATACTTGTACTAATAATATCTGATTGTAATGTTTGCTGTAAATAGTAGATATTGTTGGTATTTTCATTCGCAGGTCGTTAGATCACCAGACGGTGAATCCAGGTCTTACGCAATCGGTCAATTATCAATACAGAGAGCAGCTGTGTGGGTTTTAGAGAGGTACTATACGGAGTTTCCGATCTATAACCCATATTTGGAAAGATTACCGGTTTCTAAATCAGGTAGGAAACAGTCGAGCTTTAAGTTCTACGAGGTCGACGGTGGAGTGACCAGTGCCGTGCAATCACGCGGCGGTAGCGGCGACCGGGCGGTTCTGGCGGCGCAAGCGCGTCGTCGCGACTCCAGCCACAACGAGCGCTTCTACGAGGAGCACGATTACGAGCGACGTGTGCGGAAACGCCGCGCCAGACTAATCACTGCCGCCGAAGAGGCATTCGCGCACATCAAACGCTTGCATTCCGAGGTGGAGTCCACGCCGAATCCGGGACCGATGGATCCCATGGAAGCCGCGCAAGCGGTGTTCCCCTCTATGGCGAGAGCATTGCAGAAATACTTGAGAATCACCCGGCAACAACCGCGCCACTCCGTAGAATCCATTCTGAATCGTCTGGCTCGGTGTCTGGCTCAGGACGCGGCGCCGCGCGCATTCTTGGAACCGTTTTTCACCACAAGCCCGGTGCTGTCGAATGAGAAGGAAAGACAGAAGCGATCGCATCATTGGGCCTTGGTGTGCGAGGGCGAGTTACCCTCACGTCCGATCGCTAACGGTTGTGAGTTTCAATTGAGACAGGGTGAGGTGGCACTTCTGTGTACAGCGTACAGGTTACCTCACTTTAATCTCACCGAACAATTAGCGCATCCTAAATCGAACAAGTTTCTTTTGCGATTAAATTCGGAAACCTCTGTCTAAAATTTTGAATGCAGGTACACTTTCACAAAATTTTTATGAAATTGGCTGATAGAGGTTTTTGAAACTTCACTCAACATTTCTCCCGTTCACTGAGACATGGATTGTTGTAAAATAGCATAACAATAACTTGAACTTTCCAACGTGATAGACTGAAAGAAGCGTAATGCTTGGAGAAGTAATTTGACATTAACTAACGTTCATGACATTGTTTTCTTTTTTTAGAAAGAGAACTGCAAAGATATTAATAATTAATCTATATTCCCGAACGTGCATTCAAGTAATTATTGCGAAGAAATAATTAGTTCGTACTGTAATACGAAATACTCAGTTTTTTTATCTTTAAGACATGCGTACGTATTTATTTATTCCATTATATTACATATCATGAACACAGAATATACAGTGTCCCAGACTTACCGTATCACTCGTTAATAGCTGATTCCTGAGATCATTTGGAGACGAAAATCCTAATTCCAAAATGTTGAGGCTGCAATAGTTTTTAAATAGGGTTTAAAGTTTCTATCAACTTGTGTCAAAACTTTGCGCACTCAGGGACATCATATGTTGAAAGTGCCCTTAGATATTACTTTTATTATTCGATATTAATATAATTTAATGATTTTATAAACTTATCTTCTTCATTACACGGTTAATAATTCCGACAAATATTGTTATAACAATAGCTTAAAAATGGTTTAGAATATTGAGACGTTAGAACGCAATGCGCATCGAAAATGTCAAAACTCTCTCACGTGAAGCATGTCATAAATAAATAACGTTTCTCATATGATAAAAATATAAAAATCAATATTCGTGCCTGAGTGCGCAAAGTTTTGACGCAAGTTGATTGAAAAACTTTAAACCCTTCCCATTTAAAGACTATTGTAGCCTCAACATTTTGGTGTTAGGATTTTCGTCTTTAAATGACTTCAGGAATCTATCATCATAATATGTGATATGGTAAATCTTTATATAACCTGTATACACAGTATATACACATGTCTGAAGAATAACGAGATTAATTTTTTTTTTAATTTTTTACGTAAACGCTGTCTATTGACAATTAGTGACGTTTTGAAGCTCCATGTTTGTTCTAACAGATATCGATGAGCTGAAACATAGATCATGAAATATAGCAATCAAAGTGGCAATTCCTTAGTACACCTCGTCTCGAAATGTGTACAATAAAACAACGCTAATATAAAATTCTGTTTTAAAATCTCGGTAAAAACGCGATGAAAACCTATGAGATGTTGAAATAAAGGAAGATGGGTAAAATGGGCGATTTTGATCCCCGGAGCGGCAAATAAAAACGGTATGTTTTTTTGTAGAGCTGCTGAATCTGATTCTGACCTTTAAAAATTTTTAATTTGTCGGGAAAGTATTAAGATCAGCATATATGAAGCTAAAATATCTATACTCTGTTCAGCGATAGAATATCCACGGTCTGTACATAGGAGAAGCATGGCGAGCAAAGTGGGGAGAGCGTTGGCATTGGCAAGCTGTACGAGCAGTACAGTTTTGTGGAGTGGGGAGTTTTCTAAGCGTTCCGTGAGGGAAAACTTACACCGAACGGACGAGTTTTCGTCCGATCCGTGGGTGTTCTCTCGCTGGACAGTGTATAGTACCGTAAATTATTATTGTTGAGCTTTACGAACGTATTGTGAATTTGTGATTTTCTACTAGTAAAACATGATAATACTCTCATCTCGAATAGTTCATGTTCTGCTTGATAAAAAAAGTAAAAATTATTAATATCTAAAAGAGGCATTATCGATGGAAATCATTTTAAATCTTGACTACAGCACCTGAGAGCATTGTTGTTTATTACTCCTTTTAAGGACTTTCTCTTTTTTACACATATTCTTCTGTGTTCTGTTCATTAAAAATATTTTACTATTGTATTTTTACTACAATAGTTATAGTATTTTGCCATTGGAAATTGTATGATTCATGCAAAACATATTTTAAGCATCAAGATTTGCTTTGGCCAAATAAGACCTTCATTTATTAATTTGTATCGTTAATATATCTGTCGATTTTTACTTAATATTGTTTATTTCACTATAATTTTACAGTTTCATCAACATACCATTCTCACAATAGCTTCTTATATGTTTAATAGCTTTATATGCTGATCTTAATACTTTTCCGACAAATTAAAAATTTTTAAAGAATCAGAATCAGATTCAGCAGCTCAAAAACTACAAGAAAACATACCGTTTTTACTTGTCGCTTGGGGAGCCAAAATTGGCCCATTTTCCTTTACAGAAACGATTGTTTCTATCTCATACACGAATTTTTAAGAGTGATTGTCAACATTTAAAGACGCAAGGAAAATCTGTGTGATGAACAATTGGGCGAACATGATTTTGATGGAAGATCTCGTGGAAAGGATTAAACATTAGCAGTCGAATGCTGATATTCAGTCAAAAGTGGCAAAATTTACGATTCACAATATTTTACGTAACGATTTGAACAAGTGGAAGATCTGTTTTTGCTTTGTGTCGCATTTGCTAACAGAGGACTGCGGTCATACATAAATTTGTGACCAAAAAACAAATAGTAGTGATTGACATCTGTACTTGATTTAATTTCCTGTGATTACTTTCTATTTCAAGAACTAAATTTCGAAAACACAAGATCAGTATTTGAACTTATATAGTGTCAATCCCGTTATTTTTTAAACATACTGTAACAAATATATATGTACCTACTTTGAAAATATTAGAGATATGCAAAAGTTTCTGTCGTTTGTGTAGATACTTCTATAGATAACGTTATGAGCTATTTAAGTTAAAGTAGCGGCATATTTTTGTTTTGTTATTTAAATGTTAGTCAACCTGCATAAAAAATTATGCCTAACAAGTCATATCTATTGACATAATCATATTTTTTATTCGAAAATGGAAATCAATAAAACGCATATTTTTTATTGTATGCTTTTCTTATTTAAACAGCACAAATCAGCTGCTAAAACGACCAAAATAATTTGTGAAACGTATAGTGAAGGGATAATAGCCGAAAATTCGTGTCGCGAGTGATTTCGACGTTTCAAAAGTGATTTCGATTTGAAAGACAAGGAGCGTTCTTCGGAGACAAGATTCGGCTCAATTGTAAATGCGATTCCTTAAAAATGATGGAAACTTTTACATATCTCTAAATTTTTTGTGTGCACGCATACACACACACACACACACACACACACACACACACACACACACACACACACACACACACACACGCACACACTCGTTTGAAAGAAAATGTAGGTAGGTTAAAGAGCGCACGAGCAATGGAATATTCATACTGATTGTGAGATATTTACATTAATTAATATGCATTCCCGAATTTATGAATTATATTTTTAGTACCTTACATATGCTTTAAAACTTATACGTATGTGTTCATATGCATATGCGCACATATAGCAGCACAAAACACACGCGATTTATATCTTGCATTTCACTATTAAAAAGAAGATATGAAACTTGCATCTTGTTATCCTGCGCCTTGCATTGTGACGGTACGCACAGCTAATACTCGAATTATAGTTTTAATTTTCCTATGTTAACGTTTTTATATCATTTTTACTTTGATACAGTATTTATATTAAGTATACACGAATGGTAAACTATAATTGCTAGATGATAGGAACTTCCGATACAATCCTCTGTTGAATTTATTTTTCTCAATTTTTTTTCCTATTATTAAATTACTATTCTATATATTGCGTTGTGATTAGGTAAGAATTATACTCTCTTGATAATTTATATGTACGCGCATAATGTGTGCGCTTAAATTAAATATTTTTTTCGTTTACTCTTAAATGCTTGCTACTGAATAATATAAAAGAAAATATTTCGAAGAAAATTGGAAAATAATTTATTATACTAGAGCTAGTCAGATTTTCTTTATTCGACATTTTATACAGTCTTCCTCTATAATTTTTAGTCATTATGGGAATTGCTTGACACAAACATTTACGAGTAAACCATCAGAATAATTTTAAATATGTGACATGATTAATTATATACGTGCATTATATACATAATATTATAAGTTAATAATTAAATCATTAATTACATATCTTAGCGCATATGTGATTTAAGCGCATATTCCATATTATTTGATCGCGAGATGAATACAAATTTGCGCGTTCTCTGGTATATGTATATAGTGAACAGAAATTCTATATGATTAAATTACATGTACATATTCGTACAAATCTCTTATTCGATAAATTAAAGAACGATAGTTTGAATTATAAGCCTAATGGGCCAGAAGAAGCGTGATTTTTATATCGAATTAAATTATTGCATTTTTTTGTCGCATTTTAAAATAAAGTCTCGGTCGTCGTAATGAAATTGACAAATGTAAAAGCGTAAGTTTTCTAAGACGACATAAATTTTCAAAGAAAGTATGCAATGTGCACATGCCTTGACTACTTTTTTCACTGATATCATATGCTTCGCTACGTTTGTGAATCGTATAATCTGTTAAGATAAAAATGCTTGGAAAATACTCGAAACTTTTTTAATCTGCGTTAGTTTGAGGAATCTTGATTTAAGAAATATCGGAATAAGATTGAAGATACCGAAAATAATTTCTTTATAACTTGATATTATTATGAGTATGCATTTTTTTACGAATAGCGCTTGCTATGGATGTTTTTCTTTTTTTTTTTTTTATTTTATGTGTGCCCGTGATAATTGTGTACTATTTGAAAAATGAAATATACATTTAATGTATAAAAACAAATCTTGTTTCTCCTAACTTTCTTTTGATACACAAAGAGAACTTATCCAAAAAAATCCATTCCAATCCCTCCAGTTTACTTATACTACAATAAGTAATAAGTTACAATAACAAAATACTTGAGCATCAAAATTTTTAAGAGAATAAAATTTTTAAAGAGAATAAAATTCAAATATTTTATTATATAAAACATTTCTTTTACTGCGCTTTAAAACAAATGTAAATATGAAGGCTAAATTTTAAAAACTGGCAAATTTAACAATGCAAAATATTATATTAATTACTATCATATTAACATTTCTTTTGAAAAAATTAATATCCAATGTAAATAAATAAAATCATAAACATAACAATATCAAAATCATACGAGAATGCTTGAAAGGTTGTTGATCAGCGTTTGGTACAATCATTAAAAGATCTTTCGTCGAATTGATACAAATTATTACACAAAAAGATGGTTTTTTGTTATTAATGGTGTATATAATTCAGTCAATTATGAAATCTTGATTATTTTAATGATATGTAAATTAAAGTAGACATGAGTGCGAACATCTTTTGTGTTGATTTAGCTGTTATGATAACATAATCTTCCATTTTGTAAAGAGTGAGATACAATTTACATATTGTACACCTGGAATTAAGTATTAAACAGAGGATGTCATTAATTTATAACGTGCCCCAGATCTACCATAACACCCGTTAATGGCAGATTTCTGAAATTATTTGGAGACGAAAGTCTTAATACTAAATTGTCGAGATTGCAATAGTTTTTAAATGGAAAGTGTTTAAAGTTGACCAATCAAGTTGTCAAAAAGTCGCGGTAGGTCTGGGATAGCCTGTAAAAACTAAGATTAAAAATGGAATGAAAGAGTTAGGATAATATTTAAATTGAAATAAAATATGGATTGTTAGCAAAATGATTTTTCGATGGGGGTAATTTAAATCTTGTACGCGATAGTTGACTCGCAGCGACTTAATTAATTAATCGAGTTTCTATCAAAATCAAAATTTTTATTCATGTACATATAATTCATACGCATTTATTTGCTGCAAATATATAAAATACGTCAAACATGTGTAATATTTGGACAAGTGTTTTACCGTATTATTTCACTTGAGTATTTCGACACAAAACTCTTGATTGTATCATTCGTAACCGTATGTGCGGTGCACGTCTTATCACATTACGGGGTGCAATTTTTCCATTACTATATATACATATATATATATATAAAGATTTCGTCCCGTGTTTTGCCATTTCCAAGAAGATAGCTTTGGCTATCATCGAGATAGTACAGTTTTGGTGAACAAGTGCCATTAACTACTTCCTTTGAAACGCTGAAACACAGTCAAAATATGCAAACGTATTGCTTTATGTAAGATTGGAAATTTTATTTTTAATATAATATAATAATATAATGCGTATATAAATATGTATTAGCATTAGTATTTCAATGTATTTATGTAGTTATTAATAGTTTGACAAATTTATGAAAATTTTATGTGTTGACACCAATCACACATATCGGTTTATTAAACAAATTGTTGAAATTAAATTTTTAACATAAATTCAGTTTGGAAAGATTTCTGATAAAAGAGAACAACAACCTGCATTTAATTGAAGATAGCAATCACTATTTACTTATTCTGAATTAATTGTATTTTTTTTTATTCAAATTTTTGTAGATTTTTTTTGGTAGCATATACGCGCTTTGCGTTCGCAGCTCCAAAAAACAATTATGCAAATAACGATTACACATTGTGCACCACGCAAGATTGTATGGACACAGGTACGTATTTTATTATTTCTCATTGTTATATAAATCTCTATCTCATTGTTATATAAATTATTTTTATTTTTGTATATTTGTACAATATACTTCATATGTATATTTTATAAAAGATTTTATAAAATCTTTTTTTATATTAAACTTTTTGTAGCATCGAAAATCTCAGCTATGCTGGATCGTTCAGTTAATCCTTGCGACAACTTTTACAAATTCGCTTGCGGCGGATGGGTAAAAAATCATCCAGTAAATATATCCTATTCGAGTATTAGCTCGCTATCGTCTATCAGTGAGCAAACGACAGAGCAACTTAGAGGTTTGATACCATTTTATTATTAGCATTTGTTAGAAATATCAACATTATTAGGATAAATCGATATGTTAATTAAAATTTCCGTTGTAATTTACAAATTTGTGGTCATTTTGTTATTTACAGAAATCTTAGAAGATACTCCTAAATCAGACGACACGCTGTCTTTACAAAAAGCAAGGAGGATGTACGCCATGTGTATGGACTCCAGTATGTATGCTTATATTACAAAATAAATTAATTAAAATGCGAAAATTAAAATTCTGCGAATATGTAAAATTCAAAAGAAGAAGACTGACTTCAATTCCTACAATTTTCAGAGAAACTGAAATTGATCGGAATAAACGCTCTTAGCAATCTTGTGCGAAAGAATGGTGGATGGCCGATAACTATGTCTTTTAAGGAGTGGAGCAGGAAAGGATATAAAAAGTGGCAACAAGTTAGCAACATTATGCAATATAATTTATTTGACAATGGTCTTTATCAAATAGGCGTGACGGTGGACGACAAGAAATCCGACAGTAACGTTATTATTGTAGGTATATTATTTATACTTGACATAATTATTTATATTTTAAATATACAATATAAATTTATAGTTAGAATATTATTGTTTATAGTTAGAATATTATTTAGATTATTACAGGAATATTTAGGAGCGTTGTCTAAAGACGATTTTCTCCGAACTAATTTGAAATTGATAAAAACGAATGATATCTACCCTCTTCTCCCCCCCCCCCTTGCCTCTCTAAATCGACTAACTGGAGTTAAAAAAAATATTTCCGAGCCTTTTTCTCAATTCTCCTTTGGGAATTTTTGGGGTGGCATATCTGTTTTTCGAAATTTTTTAATGGTAGATGTGTTTTGACTTTAGATTCGAAAAGAAGACAGAAAAATAAGACTTTTTTTGAAACTTTCAAGTTATGGGGGATTAAATTCTTTTAAGGCTTGCGGGAAGACTCGTGAAATTTTGCGCGCACAATTATTAATGAGTAAAACTGAAAACTGGGAAAAAGTTCTAAAGAGATGAATAATAAATGCTCATTCCCTTACAATAAAAAAATTTTGACAAACAAGCATGCCCCCCAAAAACCTCCCAAAGGGAGTAAAAAAATTTGTTTTTTAATTCTAAGGAATCAATCTAGAGGAAATAAGCACCATTTGTTTTTATTAATTCCAAATCAATTCGGAAAAAATTCCAATGAGAAGGCGCTCTTAAACACCTTGCATATACTTATGTAAATATATTATTATTATTAAGAAATATACAATACGTTGCTACTGTTATATTATATTAGAATTTCTTATTTACAAGAATAATTATAATTATCCATAGTTTGAATGGGTGAATAGAAGAAAAACGGATAACTTTGTAGCATACATTTTTGTGCATTTTACAGATCGCGGAACCTGCTTTCTTTGCACCGCGTGATATCGTGATTAGTCTCGGTGAGGACCCTGAGCAAAAAATGTTGTACAAGTCCTACATCGAGAAAGTCGCAAAGATCTTTGTGGAAGACAGGGGCGCATACGTCCAAGATACGACCATTGCACAAGATGCATTGAACGTGGTCAATTTCGAGATTGAATTGGCTAAGGTTGTTATTATTCATACTTTTTAATCATTAGATTTATCTTATTTCAAAGCAGCAATTATTTTGTTGTTGAAACTTTCTTTTTTTATTCATCAATACATTCAATATTTTAGTTTTATTGAAAATGTTTTTCACGATTTGTTAGATAAATTTTTTTTTGTTTAATTGAAGTGAAAGCTATTTAAATCAATTTAATATAGATACATTAGCCAATTGTGTGAATTTTTAATTTTATTTTGCTTATTTCAATTTTTGCAGCTAACATTGAGCAACGAAGACAGTAGAGATATTGATAAAGTCTATAACCCGTTAACAATCGAAGAATTACAACAGGCATATGACACGCAACATCCGAAAAGGGGTAAGGTTAGCTTCAAAATTTAATATTCTAATACGTATATTATAAATTACATATAAATTATTTATGTCATTTAATTTCTGTATATTTACATTATAGATAAACTGGTTCGAACGCATTCAAAAATTGTTTGCGCCACTAGGAATCAAGATCGACCCGTCTGAAAAACTTGTCGTTCACGCGTACAAATATCTTACCAGTTTGGTATCGCTGCTGGAACAAACATCCTCTCGTACTATCGGTAAGATGTTCAGAATGTTTAATGGAAAGGTTGCAAAATGACAACAAAAATTCTTAGAGAAAGATTTCCAACATCACGGAGATTTATCTACCTACAAATACAATCTATAAATTACAATTACAGTTAACTATATGCAATGGAATCTTGTCAGAAATCTGTTACCTTACACCGAACGTACGGAAACAATTGCTATCGCACTTGCCACACAATTCCAAGGCAAGGAGGCAGACAATTCGAGGTATGTACTAGTCGATAATTATAACCATGTATTTGAACAATTCGATGCACAGTATAAAGTTCAAAATTAGTAGTATTTGTTCAAAGATATGATCACTCTTACAACTATAAATCATAAATATTACATTTAATTATTTGTCTATGGATAAATCTGACTCTTAATATATATTTGTCATAGAATTGTTTGTTTTCCAACTTTTTCAAAATACCAGTATACAATTCGTGCTATTATAGCATCTAATTCTTTAGTTTAGAGCAGCATAGGTAAAACTAATATTAACTAAATGGAATTCATTAAGGTGGAAGAGTTGCGTGAAGAAAACCAACTTAGACTCGGCTATTTCGTACGAATACGCCAAGCGATACGTACAGCACGAAAATAAAGAAGATGTAAGTTATCAATGCATATATAAAAGCAAGGACGAATAAAACTCATCAAATAACATTCATGCTGACAAGTTATATAAATCATTTAACTTTAGATCAGTAATATGATCACGAATATTGCAAATGTTGTCCGTGAACAAATCAAAGAATCTACTTGGATGGACCAGCCTACGAAGAAGGCATCTCTTGAGAAATTAGCCCTTATGAGAAAACAAGTTCTCACACCTGATTGGTATAGCAACAAAGCTATTGACAAATATTATAATGGTGTAAGTATATAGATAGTAATGTTTCGTAAATAATATACAATGGATAAAAAGAGAAATAGTCATATGTTTTTTATTATTTTTTTTAATTTTAGAGAGATAATTTTATATGAAAAAGATAATTTTTCTAGAAAGTATGTTTATAAAATATATATTGTTTTTATCTGTATTAGTACATTGAAAAAAAAATAGATAGAGTTTTAACAATATATATATATTTTTTTCATGAAAAAATTTTTATAAAATAAATAAGTATAAATATATTTTTGTTCATTGTATAGAAATAGGTATTTATTAAAGAAGAGAGTATGTTGAAAGACATAACGATAACTATCGTACATACACGTGTGTTTTAGTTAACTATCACTTCGGAATATCTTGAAAGTGTAACAAATCTGTTTAAATTCGAGGCAAAAAGAATGTTACGCAAGCTGAGACAACCCGTCGACAAAAACGAGTAAGAGAGAAAGACTCATAATTTTTTCTATTTTATTTAATATTTTATATCACGATAAACTCGTGAAATCATTGAAAAAGGACGTGCGAAATATCCAAATATCTAAAAGCATATATACATGACTATTTTTTATATAACAGATGGCTTATGGAACCAACAATAGTAAATGCTTATCATAATCCATCTGGCAACGAAATTGGTAATTTTTGAGAATTCTTAGATGTATTTTTTTATGGTAATTTAATAACTTAAATCTTATTAATTTGTTTTATTACCTTTTGTTTTTAGTTATTACTGCTGCAATATCACAAGATCCCGTATACAGTAAACATCGTCCTGAGTGAGTATTTATAATTTATAATATATATATATATAAAATACAATAATGTTTAATAATATATAATATAATTTCTAAGTACGTACAACGTACTTAGAAAAAAATATATTCTTTTGACAATTTAATAGAAAACGATATTTCTTTCACAATCTTTTCAATTTATTATTTTGTCTATAACTTGTATTCTTCTTTTAATTTATCAACTTCTTATCAGATTCATGAACTACGGAGCGCTGGGAACCGTCATTGGACATGAAATAAATCATGGCTTTGATAACCTTGGTAAATAGTTTTTCACGAATAGTTTAAAATCTTGTGACATATAATACATATAACTTTTTCGCAACATATAATTTTTTTATAGGTCGTAAGTATGATAAAAACGGCAATTCCATACAATGGTGGACGCAGGAAACTATCGATAAATACGAACAATTAACACAATGTTTCGTCGATCAATATAACGGTTATCTAGTACCAAGCTTGGAAGAGTCGAAAATTTACGTAAGTAATCACACATGAAGAAATTTGATCTTATCGAACGTCTAAAAAACATCCTAATATTTTCGATGCTTTTCAACGTTTCATAATCTTTTAAATGTTTTCAATGCGTTTCAATGTTTAAAGAACATTTTTTTTATTCTCTCTGCTATTTATGGATTTTATACTCTTTTCTACACCGATTTTCTTCAGATGTAAGAATATAGAAATTTCATAGGTAAATGGACGATTGACATTAGGAGAGAACATTGGTGATTCCGCTGGCGTTGTAGTTGCATATTATGCGTATAAGGACAGAAAAGCGAAACTGAACGAACCCGAGCTGCGACTGAAGGGACTAGAAGAGTACAGCGACGATCAAATTTTCTTTACGAGTTTTGCACAGGTAAGTAGAATGCATCGTTACATGCACGAAGATGTTAGAACAAAAAATATTTGTTCGATGAACAGTTGACAAAAGTGGAATTAGAGAAATGAAATTAATATTGATTTAATTTTTTTTCAGGCGTTCTGCGAAAATTTTACGCCGCAACGATTGCAAGTACTCATTCTTGATGAGCATCCCAGAGGGGAAACGAGAATACGCGGCAGTTTATCGAATTTCCCTGAATTCTCTAAGGCTTATAATTGCCCAGCAGGAAAAGGAATGAATCCGGATAAGAAGTGTACTCTTTGGTAATAAAGCAATGAATGATGAACCAGTGCATGAAATGTTTAATAACTGCAATTTTACAATTTTATTATATCATAATAAATGATAATAGTATATGATATGTGAAATATATATGTATAATGAAATATATATAAATGGTAATAATAAATGATCATAAATGATTTATTTGTAAAATATATTATAAATATATAAATAGCATATGTGTATACATTAATCTGTTATCAAAAAACCGAGTGTAAGAATATTAGTGCCATTCAAGTTTTCATCAGATAAACGTTGAAAATCGAAAATGCATATTTATTATTAAATATAAATAATATAATATAATAATAATATAAAAGTAATATTAATTTATCATTATAGTGCATATTTAATAATAAATATGCACTATAATGATAAATTAATATTACTTTTTATACTTGTAATGCAGTTTTGCTTGGGGTAAATGTTTATAACTATTTATATCTCATTACATCTAATATCGTATTTTTATCATTTTATTAAAAATTAAATGTAGTCTCACTAATAATAATCAAATTTAAAAAATCAAAATTCGTGCAACTTTAAAATTAATTCGTATTACATTTGTCAAATCATGTTTACTTAATATCAAAATTTAGCTGCTAAATTTAAATACTTAATGTATCCTACATGATAAGAATTTTTCATTTTGTAATATTTTTTTCAATAAAGCGGGATATATTGGGTTGTGTAATAAGTAATTCCAATAATAAGAAATATAGTAATAAGAATTTTTCAATAGATGATAATTTTTTTACGTAGGACACTTTTACGCAACGTCAAAAAATTATAATACAGGCGGGGCTTTATTACAATTTGAACAAACAAATATTTAATTTACGTGTTGTATCCAACAAAAAAATGTTTTATTGGCACTAAAATGTGAGTACATCTGTGAAATATCTACTTATTCATGGATAATATGTAGATTTCTTAATTGCGCATCTAATTTCTCTCTAATTTTGACTACATTGTTATATTGTAAATATTTCTTTCGCAACGCCACTTTTTGTTATCTTTTTCATATTATAAAATACTATTTATAACTACTAAAGTTTATGTTACTTAAACATTAAGATACCATTTCGAGCAATCTAGCATATTTAATTCTTGTAATATTCTGTTTTAGAGTGATACAGCGCTTTCATAGCCATATATGTTCTATTATCAATTGATCCAGCATTCTGATTTCTTTTGGTCACAGGAGTAACTTTTTTTTGAAAATGCATCATACACAATTGATTGAAATTAGTTAGATTTTGATGAGTTTCAGTTTCGCTTTGTGCGCCTTTATCGAGAATAAATGTATTTTTTATACGATCTAATGCTTCCCCTAAAACAGTAATATTATACTTCATAATCTGCACATAAAGTATGGATATATAAAATTCCCTAGATCCTCAGTTAAATACATTGATACTTACTCTCGTTTTCATGAAGTATTAAATCATCAAAGAAAGCAATGTTTCGTATAAATAAGTGGAACGAATCTTCAATGTCGGATAACCGCATAACAAAATCAGAATCACAAACTGCGAGATGGCATAAAAATCTGATGCCTTGCTTCAATATTTTATGCTGAATCCTTTTTATATCGGACCAAAAATTTCGATCCAAGCTTTCCGGATACGTTGAATGCTCCTCTGCATCTTGCCGAGTACATTTCGTTCGACACGTGTGATTTTTATAATTAATTCTTTTTAAGATATAATATTTTTTGGTAGTCTGAAGTGGATCCTGCCACCGGGTGTCGATTATATCTAATTTTGTTTCAGAACATTTCCTCAACATAATAATTGTAAATCGTAATAATTTCACATAACAATTACATGATTTCCAGTTCTCAATTTTCAATAAATTATTATTTGCTTGTAAGGCATTCCATATGGATGATATTAATGCATCTGTCAGGTTTACTGTAGTGAGAAAGTCTGGATGAAAGAATTCCATTTGCGTCATAAGAATTTGTAAAACACAAGCATCTGAAATATCCAATATGTATGTCATTAGACATGTTTCAAAAAAGAAAAGGAGAGAGCGAGAGCGAGAGAGAATGATAAAAAATAAATTCGGAAATTATTACTTCCGAGTGTCATAATACCTGGTGTAAAGTATAAAGCGCCTTTCCACATCTTTATCGCCATTGACTCTGTTAAAATAATGAGAATATTGAAAAATGCAAACTTTTCACTAGAACCAATATACTTACGTGAACTTCTGCAGAGTTTAGACATAAACGTGCTGCATTTACTAAAGACCATAATAAATTGTGCTAATGAAACGTAACATAGTGACAGTGGTCTTGAGAATACGAGTTCTTTGAATATAGAAGAAATATATTCTAATCTGCAATAACATCGCATTTATATAAAATCTACAAACATTCAAATGATCATAAAGATAATATTGTTATACCCTTTCTCACAGTAGCCCACTTTCCGTTGTACACTGCATAATATTTTTACAATTGCACTTATAAGACCTGTAAATTGATGAGCTCTTCTCTGCAAATAATAATATTTATTAACTATAAAAAATTTGAAAAATCGTAAAAATTAGAATAGCGTTTACTTACAACGCGGCCTATTAAAGTGACACATTCCAAGATGATTTCGAGCATTTCAAATTGATGACCTTTCTTCGGCCACGCGTTATAACGCGTCATTTGTTGCAAGTAATGATTGTAACATTCGTCATTACGTGTTAGTAATTGAGACTTTCCGGTCAAATAATTACTTAGATATGATGATTCCAAACTAATTTGCGAAAGTGTACCAAGCAATCTTCTCGCCTCGATACCGCGTTCTCCTTCGTGCCAAGCATCTGCTTCGCATTCAGATTTAATACAGATATTATGAACCTTATAAACCGTAGAAAAATATAAATCGTTCATGTCTCGAATATCATCATTTGTCATAGCTTGAAAAATGGTTTGCAGAACAATGTTGACATTCAGCATTAGCTCTCTCGCGGTTAAGATTAACTAAAAAAATATAAATATATAAATATATATTTTATTCTTATAATTAATTCCATATAAACGCATTCTAATGTTGTACTTTAGTAGCTTCTAATATGGACATTTATTTATATACCTTATTAATTATCGGTATACATCTTTCTGATTCAATTTCTGAATCAATTTTTCTTTCCATAGCTGCAATCTCAAGTAAAACAAATTCTGTTGTCAATCTTTTATCGTCTATCATTGTAACCACTGGTTTTACCAAGTCAGGATTTTCTGCAATATATAGAAAGCACAACTGTGCTAACATATATTTGTAATAAAATTGTGTATAGAATAATTTTAAATAACACTTACCAAAAATCCTGAACGTTTCTTCTTCTTGCAAAATAGGCAAATTTCTTTTTCCAGTTTTTTCTATGACCTTAATATTAATAAGAGGTTTTTCTGGCAATGATCCTCTAAACATTAACTCCGAAATTCTGGCAAGAGGAAAATCTAAAAAATATTTAAAACATTATAAAAGGATAGAATTATATTAAAAATGTTTTTCAGTATACTCACAAATGTTACATGTTTTAAGTTGATAATCATTTTTCTTATATGTATTACTAGTTTGTACACATACTTCTTTCATTGAGTTCTTCTTTATATTTATTGGCCTATTAAAAATAAGTATTAATGTTATGTATATATGTTATGTATATATTTTTCATTATGTCTTCAAAAATTTAAATTTAGTTTTACATAATAATGTTTAAGAGCATTAACTTACCGATTTGTTGGACTACATCTGCTTTTATTAAGAGAATTGTTCATATATAATGCTTGTGGTTCTTTTAATTTAACATTTCCAGATTCTAATAATTTACAACGTTCCAGTAGATTTTTTATTTCTAAAGACTGTACATGTGTTAATAGATGATGTTATTATTTGTAATAATATAAATAAATAAAAAATATATACTCACTTGTAATCCTAATTGTGTCTTCAATTGTTCTTTTTCTTTGCAAATTTTGTTGATCTCTGATCTATGACAATTAGCTTGCTCCTCATCAAGACGCACCTTTTCTAATTTCTCATTTTCAGCTCGCAATTGATTTTGCTGCAGTTGCTGCCGTAAAAATACAGTTTCACCATCTTTCATTATAAAGTCATCCAATAGTTTTTTATTTTCCTTCTTTAATTTTTCCAATTCCTTAACGTCTACAAGTGTGTATGCAAAGAAATAATGAATGAGACAGAAATAAACAGAATGTTTTTACATTTATTTTTTTACTTCTGTATTAATATTACCTGGAACAATGATATTATTTGTTTTCTGAAAAGTTGAGTTGTGATCTTTTCCATCCATTAACTTATTTCTGAACTGGGAATAATTAATTTCTGTTATATTCTGACTATCCCGACTTGTGCCTTGCATATCTTTTCTCATCATACATAAATTAGAACTTTCGGTAGATAGTGGAAACTTTAATTGTAACATTTTGTTATAGGTAGAAGTAACTGGTTTCTCTGAAAAATTTGATTTTATCGAATACAAACCAGTTTCAGATTCAGGTTTTGAATTGCCTAACATATTGCCATCCTTGAAAATAAAATATAAAATTATTGTTAAACTTTATATTACACATACTTTTGAACTAGATAATACCTTAACGTAGCATACCTGTAAGCACGCTTGAGACGCAATTAGATCCATTTCTTCGATGTCTTCCTCGGCGAAATCATCGCCCCAGACATCATCACATGTGTTTCTGCTCTTGGGGATTTCTTCCTCCCATATCCTGCCTTGCTGATCTTTCCCGGCAGTGTCAAACTTTGCTCGTTTCGCGGGCACATGATAATCATTGTCTATCATCACTTTCTCGGATCGTTTAAACATCGTGACACAAAATTGCACAGGATGTTTAAATGCGATGAATTATAACCCTCTCTAATAATCGGAATAACCTTTTATCAAACGTCACGATACGTAGTTCATCGTTGCGACGTTTATGTATTATTTTATTATCATTTGAGCCGCATTCCTCTCCTCGATGATAAAAATTATGGGCATTGAGAGAGTTTTATCAGTTTTACGCCTGCTACGATGGACAACTGTAACGATACAGGTTACGTTCAGAAATTCACAGCCAATACTGAAAATCTACAATATACGTAACGTAAACTATAGATTTTTAGTACTGGTAGTGAATTTCGGAGCACAGCCAGAATTATGCAAAGCAAACCATGTTTTAAAACAACAAGCACATATTTTTTGACGATTCACCCGGCAACTTGCCGGTATATCGACATAGGCCCGTTTGAAGGCCATCACACACAAAATGACATAACTGCATATGCATAGCATAAGACCGTCTCGACCAATGAGCATGCTATCAATAAATGCTAAATCAATATGGCGCCTTTATGCTAGATGTTCATTGGTCGAGACGGTCTTATGCTATGCATATGTAGTTATGTCATTTTGTGTGTGATGGACTTTACAATACATTGTATTGTAAGATAACTTCCAGAATCGAACGCGGGAGAGCGCCACCTTCTGGCAGCTCAAAAAACGCTTGGCGCCTCGAGCGCAATCGATTATCGCGCAGGAACAATCGACCGGATTTAGCGGGTCCTTTGCGGAAATCCGCCCCTTAATGGAACATGCTCGAAGAATCGAGAACCTGCGTACGAAGGGAATAGTTTCCGCGCGAGACCATGCGAGATACTCGTTAAGTAGTCGTCGAAGAAGCCAGTCGAGTCGGGAAAAACCACTGGCGAGCCGTTTAAGAATATTCGGAGCGGATCGAGTCGTGTTGGCTGCCGAAAGCGAAGTTGTAATTCGGAGCCAGCAATAATACGTATTCTCTTTTTAATAAAGTGATTTCTCAAGTACATGAGTACAGTCGTCTTATTTCGGCCGGTTAAGTTCGGAGTCGCTCGCGCACGCGAGACCGAAAACACGTTGTCGTGAAGGACCGTCGACGTGGCGAAAGATCTCTTCGCTTATAGAGAAAAATAGCTCAAAAGAACACTTCCACCGGGTGAAATTTGAAAAGTTCCCTAGTGGCTTTATCCATATTCTTCAGTACACCAGGTCATACAAATGCCTTGACATATGGGGTGTTTACGATAATTCAAGTTCGAGTTAGTTTCACTAGGACCGAAAAATAAGATAGACATAACCATCTAGAACCTTTATGATTTATGACAACTCGACGCTGTCTTGTATTGCTTGAGTTAAATTCATTGAATTTGTTGAGTTTATTGAGCAAATTTTATTGTAATAGAAAAATGTCATTTATTATTATTATTAATTATATTATTATTATAAAATTATATTATATTTATATTATTATTATATTATATTATTATATTATATTATATGTTATTATATTATATTATATTATTATTATATTAATTATATTATTATTAATTTATTAAAGAGGTATACCAACAAACATACCAACATTATTTGTTTCTTTCATAGACTGATTTGCAGTTGACATTTTTCTATTACAATAAAATTTGCTCAATAAACTCAATAAATTCAATGAATTTAACTCAAGCAATACAAGACAGCGTCGAGTTGTCATGAATCATAAAGGTTCTAGATGGTTATGTCTATCTCATTTTTCGGTCCTAGTGAAACTAACTCGAACTTGAATTATCGTAAACACCCATGAAGTTGCACGGGTGTCAAGGCATATCGAGTCGGCGTGTTCCGACTCTACATATTTTTACATCATGACTATGGTTATGAACACAGCGGCAAAGCTGTTTTGACTGTTCCAAAGCAACTGGAGCAATTGACAAATAAAGGTTAATATTTATAATATCAATCAATTGCTCCAGTTGCTTTGAAATAACCAAAACAGCATTACCGTTATGTTCATAACCAGTCATGATGTAAAAATATGTAAAGTCGGAACACGCCGACTCGATATGCCTTGACACCCGTGCAGCTTCATATGTTAAGGCATTTGTGTGACCTGGGCTACGTTCGGAAACCTCACACTCTGTGTAGTGTGGTGATTTTCAGTGGAGAAGTAGTGAGGATATCGTGTACCTTCGGGTGTAGAGTGTTTCCGAACAGTTGGTTGTGCGTTGATGGATATTTTGATTTCGATCGTGTCATTCGGACAATCTATAGTGACACTAAAATCTAATTGTCTTCGCGTTTCGATCTCCTTGTCCCACGATCAATCTTTTTAATTT